TGGAGAAGACAGGTCACTTGGGACGTGCCTGTGGGTTTGTTGGTGGTGAGCAGAGGTTGCTCTTTGCTACCTGGTATCCTGACCTGAGCTGCTTTCCTCCTCACACCTTTCTGCTATGATGTTCTGTTCCAGATGTCTGTGGACTGAGACCTTTTGAAATTGTGAATGTCAAACAAACTTTTCCTCCTCTAAAGTTGTTTTTGTCATGTCTTTTGGTCACAGTGGTGAAAAAGCTGATGAAAACAATTACTAAATGGTTTAAACCTGTGGTTTCTCTCAATGTGTCATCCAAGCAACCAGACACAAAAATTACTTTCACTTTCAAGTTCAGTTTTTCACTCTGTTTTCCTTTGTGAGAATGAAAAAAAAAATCCTCAGTATGTTTTCATCTTCTATAAAATAACATCAGAAAATTGGGTGGAGGAAAGAGAACAAGATGAGTGGACAACAATTGGCAGCTTTTTTGGATCACACTGCCCTGCACAGAGATAGAGCAGAAATGCTTATTCAAGGACTTTCTTTTAGTCTTTAGCTTAAGTTCCTTAATTTCTGACTTAAAGTGGCATATGAGAAGGGAAGTGAGGGAGAAGATAGTCTGATGGCCTGGATTGCAGGGTGCAGTTGTTAGCTTTAGTTGTTATTAGTCTAAAAGCTAGACTCACTGCTAGTTTGGAAGTAACAGTGAGATGGGAGGCTCCTCCCCTAAGATCAGGAACAAAACAAGGATGCTCTCTTTTTTCACTTTTTTCCAACATAGTACTGGGAAGAACTAGCTAGAGAAAATAAGCAAGAAAAAGAAAGAAAAGACATCCAAATTGGAAAGGAAAAATTAAACTTTTCTGTTCCTAAGTAATGAGATGTAGAAAACTCTGGTAATTTCATAAAGATTTCTGCAAAGTGGCAGGCTATAAAATCAACACTCAAATATTAGATGCACTCCTATATATTAACAATGAATATTCTGCACAAGGAAATTTTAGAAATACAATTTCATTTACAATGGCTTAAAAAATCGAAATAAAAAACACAACAAAATATTACTGAAAGAAATAAAAGAAGACATAAGATAAATAGGCAACCTAGAGAATGGGAAACAATATTTGTAAATCGTATATCTAATTAAGGATTAATATTCAAACTATATAGTGAACTTCTAAATCCAGCAGTGCAAAACTAACCTGAAGCAAGAATGGCAGTATATTTGAATTAACATTTCTCCAAAGACAATATACAAATATACAATGAGAACATGAAAAGATACCCAGCATTACAAATTATTATGAAAACATAAATCAATACTACCATGAGAAACCACTTTATACTCAGTAGGAAGGTTATTGACATTGAATATAAGGATTAGGGATGTAGCTCAATGATAGAGCACTTGCCTATCATGAATGAGGTCCTGGGTACAATCCCCACCCCCCACCCCTCACCCCGCAAATGAAATAAGTAAATTAATAATAAAAGTTAATAAAGGGAGACAAACACACATATACACAATAACCAGTGTTGAGAGGAATATGGAGAAACTGAAATGCTTCTGAGCTCTTGGTGGGAATGTGAAAGGGTATAACTGCTGTGAATAATGATAATGATGGTTCCTTAGAAAATTAAAAAATGTAATTATCATATAATTCATCAATTCCACTTGTGACTATATTCCCACAAGTATTGAAAGCAGGGTCTCAAGGAGACATTTGTTCACCAATGTTCAGAGCAGAATTATTTGTAATGTGTAAAACACAGAAGCCACTAGTTATTCATAATTATGCATGAATTAATAAGCAAATCGTGGTATATGTATTTGATAGAATATTATTTAGTCTTTTAAATGAAGAATATTCTGACATATATTACAAATATGAATAAAGCCTGAGGTCATTGTGCCAAGTGGCTTATTTGCCAGTCACAAAAAGATAGTTGGTGATTCCTTATTTGAACTATTTTGAAACTTCAAGTATTATAAAATCATAGAGACAGAAAATAGAATGTAGTAGCCTAGGGATGGGTAATAGAGATGTGGGATTACATTGTTTAATGGATACAGAGTATTAGTTGTGCAAAATGAAAACCATCTTGTAGATGCATAGTGGTTTTGGTGCAAAAAACGGCATAAAGATATTTGAAACCACTGAGCTGTACATTTAACAAGGTTTTATGTTGTTAATTGAGAAAATGGAAAAAAGGAAAATTTTAGTTTTCCTCAAGGACCTTCCTGATCAAATAGCATCCCTCACAAAGATGGTGGTTTGCAAATACAGAGAAAAAAGAGTTTGTCCCTAGTATTTTATCACAATTATCATTGGAAAAGATTGTTTCTTATTTATACTGGTGGAAAAATTAAGTACCTACATCTATTCCCTTTAGGTCAAATAATAGCTCTGTAGTCAAAACTGAGGTTTTTCTTTTTCTTTTCCATAGATTTATTTTCTTTAGGGATATCAGGATTAATCTAAGGTAATCCAATGTGTATCAATGTGTATGTACCCCATGTGTGGTGACTTTTTTACACACATTGATTCTTTTTGGGGGGTGGGAACGGAGAATCAAATTCAGGGGCACTCACTCAACCACTGAACCACATCCTCTCCCTTTCTTATATTTTATTTAGAGGCAGGGTCTCACGGAATTGCTTAGTACCTTGGTGTTGCTGAAGTTGGCTTTGAACTCATGATCCTCCTGCCTCAGCCTACCAAGCTACTGGGATTACAGGTGTGTGCCACCATGCCTGGCCACACATTGATTCTTAAGTTTGGGAATCTGGGTTTTACAACCACTCTGAGTGATACTCTTCTGTCTTACATTTTGAAAAGGACTTTCTGAGCACGAGTGAAAAACATTATTCTGATAATGTGAAGCTACAATTTGTGATTCTTTAATAATAATAGAGGCATGACAGGCCTGGTTTTTATAAATAAATTCTGCTATCAAATTCATATCATTTTGCAGTCCCCTTAATCTGCTCCTTGAAAAAAGGAAAGCAAATCCAGAATTCTAATGTGGCCAAAAGGAGTTCTTATTTTCCATATTCATAGAGCCTAAAGGTTCTAACAAAATAAACATAAACAAAAACAATGTTTTCAGCCTACTAATGTCTCATTCCAATGAAAAATTTATTTTACACTGTATGACTCTTTAACTTGCATTTACAGAATATTTTGAAATACATTATCTGGTAGACCAATCTTCATGGTAGTTTTTGCAGATTCATCTTTTTAAAAATTAATTAATTAATTAAATTTACAACAGAATGCATTTTGACATATTGTGCACAAATGAAGATTAATTTTATCAAAACCAACAATCTGTTGATTAAATAATGTTACAATAAAGGTTACATCATTCCATTTAAATCTCAAAACAAACTTGAGGTAGGAAGAATTTTTTTTTAACCTGTAACCCTCATAAAATGACGAATGTGTTTTGTTTTCATTCCTTGACACCCAGTTAGCTTAAGCTCTTTGCTCAAGTTACATGGGTAGATGTGTTAGTCAGCTTTCCAGTACTATAACACAGATCTGAGATGATCAGCACACAAGAGAAAAGGTTTCTTTTGGCTCACAGTTTTGGAGCTTCCAGTCAATGTCAATTGGTTTCATTTATTTGGGTCTATGATGACACTAGCATAACACATCATAGCAAGAGTGTGTGGCAGAGCAATACTATCCTCCTTGTGGCCAAGAAGCAGTAGAGAAAAAAGAGGAAGTGGCTGAAATCTGCAGTTATTTTCAAAAGCACACCCCCAGTGACTTGAAGACCTACCATGAGGCATCACATGTTCAAGGTTCTACCGTCTCCCCACAGTGCTACCTTGGGGACTAAGCTTTAACACATGGGCCTTTGAGGCACATTCAACATGCAAACTGTAGCAGTAGTAAACTGTAGAGCTGAAAAATTTTGAAAGTCATAGATACATGCTAAATATTTAGCATTTAAAATATAAATATATTTGAGTGACTTCAACAGAATGTTCTTACATATTATTACAATAAAAAAATTGGATATATCATAGAAAGCCACTGATATACAAAGCTAAATAAATGCTTGCCAAAAGATTCATACAATAATAGTACTTTTCATGCTTAATAAGCTCTAATTAAATCTTTGTTTTAAAAAAAATAATTCTGAATTATAGAGAAAGTTTAAGACTACATGAAAGTTCAGATATTTCTTCTCTTAGATTCATTCCTGGTGATATTTTGGACATCATTTATGTACTTTTGTTTTACAAATGGAAGCACAGTTTTTCTATTTTCATTCCTATTCCAATTTTTAGTTGACAAAATAGCAGAGAACAAGACCTCTCATGTGTGCAGGCCTGACTCTTTGTGGTATGCAGGCCTGACTCTACAGGAATAAGTGGAGTCCATTCCATCACCCTAATGTATCAGAGCATCATGCTGTTGGTAAAGGAGTGTCAATGGAAAGCCCCTGTATGTTACTGATTAAGGAGCACAGGAAGCAATGTTGTTGAGAAAGATCATTCTGCCAGATGAGTGGTCACAAAGCACGGTGTAGGGAAGTGACATTCCTGGCTTCAAACGTTGGGACTCCCACTATTCACTAGATATGATGAAGCAAACTCCTCAGTCTTTCTGAACTTCATCTTGTACATATGCAAAGTGAGTATAAATAGCGTTAACTTTCAAAATTCCTGTAAACATCAATGAACTCAGGCATGTAACACATACGTGACAGCTTTGTATAGACTGTCAATGTATGATAAACATTGCTTGAATTTTATTTTTATTATGGAAGTAAAACCTTGGACTGGTATCTAACTACTTCATTACTTCAGATTTTTTCATTCATTACTTTTAACTTCAGATTTCTAGTAGAGGAAGCCCTATGCAAATGATATCCTACATTTTGTGCCATAGAAAAATATGGAAATCCTCTGAGCTCCCTCCTGTCATAACATGTTTGATTAAACTTCAGGGGTTGGGGGAACTAATTTGTGATCTTATTTCTACAGTGAGGCCCTTTTATTTTTGTAGATCACCATGACGTCTGGACCAATTATGTTGGTCCCAGTGTGTCTGGTAGAAAACAACAATGAGCAGCTAAGGGTGAACCAGAAAGCCTTGAAGATTCTTCGCAAGATTTCTCAGCCTGTGGTGGTTGTGGCTATTGTAGGTCCTTATCGCACAGGAAAGTCCTACTTGATGAACCGTCTTGCTGGAGAAAACCTTGGTGAGTGAGGTCCCTCGGCAGGGCTGTTTACTTCAATCTAGCTCTATCTCAGTTTGTCACTGCATCTTCAGGGTAATAAGGAGGGAGATTCTGAATCTCCTCTCCAACAAATCTAATTCTTTCCAGCAAAAGTGCAGCCTTGTCAATGTGTCCAATGCTGTGATTTACATCTGTCATTTCAGCTTCTTGTAAAAGGGATATCCTTCATTTCTAGCAGCTTAGGACCTGAGCTCTTACAATGACCTTCACCCACCCGTGGTTTTCCTTTTTCCACTATCTTATTCTTATTAACTTGATGCTCTCTCTGAATTCTGTATCTCATTATGGCTGCCATATCACTGTTTTTTTTTAAACTCTATCTCAAGCAAAATTATATTGTCTCAATTTCCTTTTTATACTTTCTTCCCACTTTTCAATCAACTCCTCTCTTTTCTTAAAACCCAACATTCCACTGAATTGCTCTTTCTCTTTCAATATATACCAATGACCCTGTCTTTTCTGATACAAATTATGTTTCTTTTTATCCATCCCAGACCCTTGCTTAGCATCACTTCTCCTGTTTCACCAGCTTGCTCCTAAAAACACTTTCCTTTCTTATTATCTCTATACCACACACTCTTGGTTTCTTTCTATCTCTGAGTCTCCATCTCCATCTTTTCAAGGTACTCACAGGCTTTAGCCTCAGAAGGGCAGGTATTTCAGCCTCATTCAGTCCTATTGTATCTCCTGGAGCTTTAACTTATCTATAGTACCTGGAAAATAATAGTTACTTAATAAGTAATTGTTGACTAAATTTCTTTGTTTATTCCTCAGATGATTAAAAGGACTTGATCTAATTGCAATACCATCACTAGCTTAACTTCCTTTTGAAGTCAGGGTGGTTGGACAGCTAAGAATCAAAGCATCTTTGTGTGTAGTGTAACTTCTTTCATCCAGTGCACTGGTGGGCCACACCAACAGGAAGGCACATTTTCTTACAATGGGAAGAGGAATTAGAAATTATGAATAAACCAAACTTTAAAATGTGGGAGAAGCTGACCGAGAAAAATATGAGGTGTTTATGTGACACTAAGTTGGATTTCCTCAAAGAACAGAGAAGCATCATCTTTTTTTTTTTTTCATTGCAATAAGTATTATCATTGTAAAATAAAATATAAATATACTATATGCAACAACATATCAACACCCACTAAAAACAAACATTCACACACACATATACTTATAGATATACATGCTTATACTTTATAAATATATGAAATGTACACGTAAATATACAAAATCAGAGAAGTAGTATCTCGTATCACCGGCTCTTACGATCCTACAAGTGCAATTCTGAAGTTCAGGAGGTTCCTGAATATCTGCTGGGAGTGTAAGTAGCTCTCTGCTCTTCACTTGCAGGCTTTCCTCTGGGATCCACAGTGCAATCTGAAACCAAGGGCATCTGGATGTGGTGTATGCCCCACCCCAACAAGCCAAACCACAGTCTGGTTCTTTTGGACACTGAGGGCCTGGGAGATGTGCAAAAGGTGAGGAAGAAGCTCAGACAGATCTTTTTTATTCTGGTATTTTTTCTTAGCTTTCCATGATACTTTTTATTTCAACTTCTGTATTTCATTCCTGAAATCCCCAAATGCTACTCTATGGAATGAGACTTTCTTCGATCTCTTTGAATTTATACCATATAATGTGATATGTTAGGTAAAATTGTATTCCTGAGAAGTGAATTGAACAGTTTCATCCATTTTAGTAAGCCTTTATGGAGAAGCTGAGATATAGGGTCTTGGGCAAGTACTGTTGATGAGGTAAAGGTCCTGCTCTCTCAGAGCCTTCAACTCTGTTGAGGAGATGGTGTGTATAAGTCAGCTAGAATACCATGTGATCACTGCTTGGGTGTGAGTGAACCAGGTGAATTTCCTAGAAAGCAGACTAAGAGACAGACACCAACAGGCAGGAGGTCTTTTAATTCAGGTTTTAGTTTGCCTATTTTTACGTTAGAGTGAAATTAAGACACCATGTCTATTTCTGTATCTGTCTCTCCCTCTTTTCCTCCTTCTCTATTTAGAGATTAAATTGGAAACAAGATCTATATTTCTGTAGGATTCATTTCCTCCCAAGATTAAGCAGATATTCTGTCCTTACTTATAAAACAACATACCAAAGATACGGTCTTGGTGCCAAAACCTATTGTTGTTTCTCCAAGTCCAACTTGTTCTGATCTCAGTCAATTTACTGAGAATTTGGGAAATGCAGTATATTCATAAAATTTTTTCTTTTTCCAAATTCCCATATTCTGGATTTGAGTTTCAGGATTTTCATTTCCTCAAGCAGGTAATAAAACATATCAGAGTTTTACTACAACTGATTGCTGGCTTCTTCAGTGATTCAGTCAACACAAAAGCAGCTTTGCCTCTTCAAGGCTCTCACCATCTCTCCACAGAGCTAGCTTTGAAGCCACATCTTCTGTATCTACCCTTGGCTCTGAGCCAGTCAGACCTAAGAACTCTATGCTTATTTAATTCTAATATTGATTTGACTTCTGCAAGTATTTCTATTTGCATACCCTTTTGTTAAGTCCACATTTTACAAAAACTTCAGCACTCAGATGTAATTTCCATTTATATTCTATGTCACATACAGTCATTTCCTACTTTCAGTAGCTTTTGTTCTCATTGACACATTCATTATTTTTATTCAATATAATAGCCGTCCCTTTTACTTTAGATCCATTACTAATATGTAAACCCTTTAAATATGTTATTATCCTTGTTGCCTCTGTTTTCAAATTAATGTGTTATTAGATAATCACATAGATTGTAAAAATTGCTGTGCTTAACTATGTTTTTCACCAAATAAACAAGGTGAGCAACATTTTTTAGTAGCCCACACATATGTATGCTCTGTGGATTTGACTTAAATGCTCAGTGGTGATTAGCACAGCATGGATTATGTGGCCCTCTTATTGTTAAGTGAGACATGGTCTCTTACTACTAAGCAACTAGTTGCATATTGGACCCAGTTTTTTCAACCTGTATTTTCTTATTTCATCTCATTCAGAAAAAGAAGGATCATTTGAAGAAAGTATTGTTAGAATCCTTCCATAGATGAGGAAACAGGGGTCACAAGAAATTTCATTGCTAAAGTTGAGATTTAATTTTGTTTTCATGTTTTTTTTTCTTTGTGTCAACACTATGCTGTCTGTAATAACAAATGAAAAGTAACTGAACAACAACAACAACAACAAAACCTGAATGAACATTGAAGGAAAAGATCATTCAGTGCTTGTTTTAACATGTTTTCCAGGGTGACCCTAAGAATGACACATGGATCTTTGCCCTGGCTGTGCTTCTGAGCAGCATGTTGGTGTACAACAGCATGGGCACCATCAACAATGATGCCTTGGAGAAGATGCAGTATCCTTTTGTAGTTTATTGAGAAATTGTGGAGGGAATGGAGACCAAGCTGAATCCTTCCCCTAGTGGCTGAGTTGCCTTTGGTAGGACAGAGAGGACCCAGGGGAAGGGAGAGCATTCGTAATAATTTTTTAAGGGGAACAAGGAAATTGTGCCTGGCCGCTCCTTTTCCTTAGCCAAGTCCTAGTTATGTGACAGAACTCACAGAACTAATCAGGGTGAAGTTTTCCCAGAGACTTGATGGAGTAGAAGATTCCACAGAATTTGTGAGTTTCTTTCCAGACTTTGTTTGGACTGTACGGGATTTCACTCTGGAGCTGAGCCTACATGGTCACCCCATCACGGAAGACGAGTACCTGGAGAATGCCTTGAGTATGATTCCAGGTATATGAGCATGATCTGGGTGGGGAGCTGACTAGTAAGGGTTGATATTTGGTGAACATTGTCCATCATCTCTGGGGTTGCATTGTACTTCAGACTAGCTCAGGTCTACAGAAATGACTGGGTTCTGGGTTATTACTCTTTGATAAGTTTTAATGACTAGAGTTAACTCACCCAGTGACAGTAGGGCATGAATGTGTACAAAGTTATTCCAAACCAATTTTCACTTAAAATAATTTGTACTTTAGCATTTAGCTTATGTCAGGCACTAAACCTTTCCAGATACCTGACATTGCTCTTTCTTATGCTTCTCCTTATTTTTTTGGAAAAACAATGAGAAAAACAATGTACTAGTTAATTGTTAGTCATAGAATTACAAGGCAGAACCTACTTTGTTCAGTTTTATTTATTCTCCTTTCAGACATTGTTTTAGTCAGCTTTTTCACTGCAGTGACTAAAGGTCCTGACCAGAACAACTCTAAATGAGGAAAAGTTTATTTGAGGACTCACAGTTTCAGAGGTCTAAGTCTATAGAAGGTCAGCTTCATTCCTCGGGGCTTGAGGTGAAGCAGAACATCATGGCAGAAGAGTGTGGAAGAGGGAAACAGCTTACATGATGATCAGGAAGCTGAGAGAGAGACTCTACTTGCCAGATACAAATATATACCCCAAAGCCACGCCCCCAATGCCTACTTCCTCCAGCTGTGCACCACCTGCCTTCAGCCACATAACGCCTGCCTCAACTCCATTAGGTGATTAAATCACTGATAGATTAAGGCTCTTGTAAACCAATCATTTCTCTTCTGAACCTTATTGCATTGTCTCACTCATGAATTTTGGGGGGACACCTCACATCCAAACCATAAGAGACATGTATTAACTTTTCAGAGAATGGCTAGTTATGTCTTCCATAAAAGCAACTTTACACTCCAAATAGGCCTCAACAGTCCCTTCCAAACTTTTTCAATACTTCTACTGTCTGCCAGAGCCTTCATTTGTGTTTCCCTACCATATCATTCTCTTCATATTAGCACCTATGATGATACTGTTCTCAGTTAATAAATTATTCTAATGTATTGCATTTAGGTGGGTGAGTGTCTGATAAAACCCATGAGTTTATTAAGTAGAGACAAATTATATAGCTTACATTTTGAGAGTTTATATTCTTTAGAGTTTATACCTAAACTACATAATCCTATTTGTTGTGTGAATAACAGTGATTACAGTTTTCCTTAACAATGTGTCATCTGTCTTATTTTAGTTATTGCTCTACTATCTTTATTTGTGGCTCCTCTTCATTCAGTTTTACAGTTGGACTTCCACTATCAGTACTATCAGACCAGAAATTGATATGTAACCATCTACCAATCAAATCACTCCTGAAAATCTTATAAGCCAGGTGCTAATCTTGGTTCAGTGGATACCAACCCAAGCTTTTTTTTTTTTCCTGGGCACATGCCTCCCACAATTCATTTACAGAGATGCATCACTGACATGAGTTTGATTTGCACTAAGCCATTGAATGAATATATAAAATTGGATCTTTAAGAAGATTCCAATGAACAATAATTCCAAGTCATGATATGCTTGAGATGCCTTGTCCCTAGTTTGTGCTCAGAGTGACTCTGTTTTCCCTCTTCCTCAGGTGATAATGATAAAGCGAAAAATACTAACACATCAAGGGATTGTATTAGGCGTTTCTTTCCCAACCGGAAGTGTTTTGTCTTTGACCGGCCAAAATATGAAAAGGAGCTCCTAGCTCATATTGAGGACGTGTTGGAAAATCAACTAAATCCTGAATTCCAGGAACAATCAAAAAATTTCCGTTCTCACATCTTAACCCACGAAAAGATCAAGACCCTCAGGGAAGGAGTCAAAGTCACTGGGAATCGTGAGTTTACTTTTCTTAAATGATACTTCTGTGTGGTCTAATATTTGTTGAATCATAGTACGTGCTATTCAGTTTTTTATTTCTTTTTATACAGAAGCGTATAGACTATTTATCAATATTCATATACCACATGAAAATGTGTAAGTGTTCATGTCATAGGATTTACAAAATCCTATTATTTATTTTATTTTCCAAAACTTCAAACATCACTAGTATGGACAGTTCCTACATATATGAAGGGACCCATCTTGGATGAAATAAAAGTGATAGGGTTAAAAACAGACTGCATTGTCTTTTCATGGGAGGTCCTGTGAAAAGGGAGACTATCTGGCAGTTTAAACCAGTCCAAAATAAATGTTAGCTTATGAGGTCCTGAAAATCCTTTGAATGCTTAATAATTAGAAATAAATGATTTTTGGATTCCCCTACCTCCTTAGTCTATCTGTTTATCCTACTTTTCTCTTCAGGTATGTTAACAAAAAATAGTTTCTTTTTTTCCTGAACAACCATGATTATTTTATTTTATTTTTCAAAAGAGAAAGAAGAATCACAATATTATGGTATTTGTAAGTAATCACAATTCCTTACTAATGGGATATGGGCTTGAGAAACCTGCCTAGATCCTACCTCCTTTAGTCCCTTGTCCACATTGATTTTCATGGTTCAGTTGCTTTCATCACTGTAACCATTTAAAACTCAGCTTTGTAAAGATCTCAGACCATATCTTTAAAACTTTTTAGAACATTATAGTTAGTATAGTAGTTGGGTTCCTCCCAACAAAATCACACATGCATGGAGTTCAATTTCAGTTCATGTCTGCCCTTCTTCTCTTCCCTCCTCCCTTCCCCCATTCTCCTTCCTCTTCTCCACTGATCTTCCTGTCACTCACCTATTTATTTATATTTGATTAATTCTTTCTATTTATATATAAAAGTGAGATTCCCTGTGGTATATTTATGAATGTACTTAGCATGATTTTAAAAAATTCATTCCACATTTCTCTATTTCCCATCTCTTTTCTATCCCTCTCAATTTCCTTCTTCTATTCCATGATCTTCTCTATATTTTTATATATTTAATCCTCCCTCTTTGATTTCTTTATTTTGCCCTAGCTTCCCCATATAAAAGAAAACATTTGACTCTTGATTTTATGAGACTGACTTATTTCAGTTAGCATGATGTTCTCCATTTCCATGAATTTACCAACAAATGATATAATTTTATTTATTTTTTTTGTGGCTAAATACAACTCCATTGTATATATGGAGTTGTATTTAGCCACAATAGGTATATATACACCATAATTTCTTAACCCATTTATTAATTGAAGGATACCTGGTTTGATTCCATAATTTGGGTGTTGTGAATTTTGCTACTATAAATATTGAGGTGGCTGTATTGCTATAGTATGCTGATTTTAGTACTCTTGGATTAACACCAAGAAGTGGGATAACTGGATCATAATCATCTAAATCAGATTTTAGATGAAGGTTGGTATTCAATATTTTAAACTGTTAAGTCCCAGTGAGTAATAGAATGAAGAAAAGGTGTGAAATTGTATGTGCTGATAGAAAAAGTATGCAAGGCATGTGTTTGTTTATCTTTGTCCTTTGGATTGTTATTTAAAAATACCTTAAACTGGGAGTATGAAACAACATACATTTTTTTCTCCAGGTTTTGTAGGCTGGGAACTCCAAGATCAGGGTGCTAGCATGGTGGAGTCTGAGAACTCTTCCAGGTTGCAGACTGCTGAGTTCTTGCTGTGACCTCACATGGTAGAAGGGGCAATTTAGCTCTCTGGGGTCTCCTGTAACATATTAATTCTGTTCATGAGAACTGTTCCCCCATTGTCTCTAATCACTTCACAGAAGGCACCACCTCCTAGTTCCATCACTTTCATGGTGAGAATTAATAATCAGTCCATGGTGTTATGTGTGATTTTAAAAACATAGTCTCAGACTCTTGTATCCTATTGAGTGAGAACTTGACATGCATACCTATTCTCGGCCTTATTCAGGGCTGGGGAGTTTGGTGAAGACCTATGTGAATGCCATCAACAGCGGAATGGTGCCTTGTTTGGAGAATGCAGTGACCACTCTGGCCCAGCGTGAGAACTCAGCAGCTGTGCAGAAGGCAGCCGACCACTACAGTGAGCAGATGGCCCAGCGGGTGCAGTTCCCCACAGACACACTCCAGGAGCTGCTGGAGGTGCACGCAGCCTGTGAGAGGGAAGCCATTGAAGTCTTCATGGAGCACTCCTTCAAGGATGACAAGCTGGAGTTCCAGAAGAAGCTGATGGTAATTAACCTTAGCTTATACCTTTCCTGATCTTGTCCTGGAATAAGGTTGATAGTCTTTTTTTTTTTTTTTTTTGTGTGGTGCCAAGGATGAAATCCAGGGCCTTAAACATGCTAGGCAATCACTCCACCACTGAGCCACATCCCAAACCCCTAGGCCTAACATTTTTATTCCAGGGTTTGTATCCTTCTTATCTCAGAAATAACCTAGATTTTTGTGGGTAACAAGACTCTGCAGGCTACAAGTGCTCTCTTTATCTAAAAGATGACACTTTGTTTTCTACTGCTGCAAAACAAATGATCATGTACTCAGCAGCCTAAAATAGCATGCATTCATTAGCTCACAGTAAGGTTAGATCCCAGCATAGGGTATGTGGGGGTTCTGCTCAGTGCCTCACAAGCTGAAAACAAGATATAAAATGGCTTAGTTCTCATCTGGACACCTGGGTACCCTTTTCATCTTCAACATACCAGTGATGCATCCCATCTTTCCTTCCTTTCTAGTCTCTCTGTTTTCCCTTCTGCCACAGCTGGAAAAAACTGTTCTAATGTGCAGATGTGGTTAGATTCAATAGGGTACTGTTCATTTATTATATTTATCCTGTGTAATGCCACATATTGTAACCATAGGATTACTAACCATCATATTCACAGACCCGGGGACAAGGCAGGAAGTGGACATGGAGGAGAGAACTCTCAGGTGACAACTTAGTTCGGCTGATCAGATGTACCTTCACTGAAAGTTTTTCTTTCAGACTATTTAGGACAGATCTTAATTTGACAAAATTCTCTTATTTCATATTGAGGAAAATCCAGCTGGATTGTAATTTCCAAATAGAAACAAACAAACAAATGCACCTATTCTTATATCCTCACACACTGAAACTGTCACGGAAAGAACTTGCAAAGCAGTCAAAACTCTGCTCAGAATATACTTAACTTGTTTCTGGTGGGTAGGTGTGCCATGCATATATTTTCATCTGTAGCAACCCGCACTCTCTGAGGGGAATTTTACTTCAACCAGAATTAAACATTAAACATTTTATTAGTGATTGTTAGGGTTTCGGTTGCTGTTAATCATACTATTACTAAATAAACTATAAAGTTTATGTCTTCCAACTCCATCATTTCACATATATTGAGACTGACATTGAGGTAAGAGACTTTTCAGAGTCACACAATGAATTGGCCAGACCTGGGACTGAAGCATGTCTCCTGACTCCTTCTATGTTCCAGTCCTCTCTGAGGCGGTCAGACTGCTTTTTCTGAGAGGATACCAGTTGGGCCTTCCTTCTAACAACTTCTTTGTATTTTACTTCCCTACATCTCCCTTCCAGGACACCATAGAGAGAGAGAAAAAAGCTCTCCTGCTGCAGAATGAAGAGGTATCTGTCAACTGCTGCGAGGCTCGGCTGAAGCAGCTTTCAGGGCCCCTGATGCGAAGCATCTCAAGAGGAGTGTTCTCTGTTCCTGGAGGCCATAGGCTCTACTTAGAAGCAAAGAAGAAGGTGGAACTTCAGTACAATCTAGGGTCCAGGAAAGGAGTGAAGGTGAGGAGTAAGGGGAGGGGAGAGGGCCAGTATGTGGTCAGAGGGTCTGTGCTGCTCCTTCTGAAACTAAGCTGCCACCATTATTTGTGAAACAAAAGCAGAGAATGGCTATATGTTGACATTTATATAATTTTATATCCCCTGTTAGTTAGATCCTCTTAAGTAAACCAGAAACAGTTCTTCCCAGAGAGGGTTTAGAACCAGGAATTCAGGTGAAACCAACCATTTCTTTTACTTATCAAAAAAAGCGGTTTTAATTTTTTTCTGCTAAAACACAGAAGGTACAATATGAAAGAAATGACTTTGTTCTTGTGAGGCTTAACATATTTCAGTTGGACAAAAAACAGTCAATGGTATATGAAGTGATAAGGTTATCATAAGTTAACGGTAACTGGTGTGTACTCATAGTAGCAGAGAATGATGATGGACGTAATTGTTAGGGAACACTAAACATTCTCTTCCTACACCAGGTACAGGTTCTGGTGATTTCCTTACATTACCTATTTAATTCTCAAAATACACAAAGTACATATTACTATCTTCCATATTAATACCCTTAAGAAAGGTAGTGCACAGAAGGCCTATTACGTGACCTAAGATCATAACAGTCTGTCAGTGACAGAGCTCGTGGGCAGCCATTTTAAACTCAGAATTTATTTTTAAGGCGGGGGGATGGGGGGATCCTCCTACTGCACCACTTCAGATTCTTCCAGCTATTCTACAAGGTTCCCTTTTTTCCACATCCTCAGCAACATCTCTTGTCCTTTGACTAATTGATAATAGGCATCCTCACAGATGTACTAAGATCTCATTGTAGTTTTCATTTGTGTTTCACTGGTATTAGTGATGTTGAGCACTTTTACAAATATCTGATTAACATTTGAATTTCTTCTTTGAAGAATGTTTATTCAGGTCCTTTGCCCATTTTGTAATCAGGTTATTTATTTTTTTTACTGCAGAGTTATGATTTTCTAATATGCTTTGTATATTACCCCTTATTAGATACATGGCTTACAAATATTTTCTCCCATTCTATACATTGTCTTTTTCATTTGGTTAGTGGTTTCCAGGCTGTGCTGAGACTTTAGTTTGTTGCAGTCACATTTATTTTACTTTTTGCTTTTGTTGCCTGTCTTTTGGTTTTAAATACAAGAAATCTTTGTAAAGGCAAATGTCAAGGTTTCCCCCCTAATATTTCTTCTAGAAGTTTTATAGTTTCAGGTCTTATGTTTAAATATTTAATAAACTTTTAGTTCATTTCATAGAAGGCATAAGATAATGGTTCAATTTCATTCTTTCCTGGCTCTCTATTCTGATCCACTGGTGTATGTGTCTGTTTTTATGGTAGTACCATGCAGTTATGAATACTAAGTAATACAACTATACATATCATATATGTGATAGAATATCATTCAGTCTTAAAAAAAAGTACTGTCAATGACAACAACATGGATTAACCTAGGGACATTGCACTAAATGAAATAAGTCAGCCACAGAAAGATAAATGCTGCATGGTTCATGTTCAGTGGTGCCAATCAACAAAAGGAGCAAAAAGCCATTAAGCTCATATTAACATAGTGTTCAGTTAGAGTAGAATAGTGATTAGCAGGGCCTGAGAGAGGGGAAGGGAGATACTGGTAAAATATATAAATATGCAGGCATACATGAGTAAGTGCTGCCCACCTGATGTACAAATGTGACTGTAGTTAAAATACTCCATTGTGTACCTTAATGTTACTAAGATAGTAGGCCTTGTGCATTCTCAAGACAATGGAAAATGTAACTGTGTGATGTGGTCAACATGAAACTGGCTTGATTGTAGGAACCATTCAACAATGCAGTCATATATCAAACGTCATGTTATATAATTTCAAAGTATACAATTTTTATTTGTTAATCTCAACAAAGCTGAAAAGAAACTCAGAAGGCAGCCTAGAAAAGCTTTCTAGTATAGGAGGTGGAAGACACAAGTCAAACAAACTGTAGATATGATGCTAGTTAAGGAAGGCTAGAACAGATCCAGAAAAAGGATGTGCACATACCACAAACAATGGAGAGGGTACGTGTTTGTAGAACTGCTCTTACATATGACTGGGGTGGCTGGTGGGCAGCACTCAGGGGACAGGAGTCTACTGTCAAGGGTTTTCATGTCTCACCAGAGCACGGACTTTTGTTGTGTCCTTAGAAGGACAGGAATCCCTATGGGATCCTAACTAAGAATGATGCAAAATAAAGTCAGTCTATTGAATAATAACTTCCTTATCAGAAGACTAGATCTTTGATATCTAAAATGTTTTTGTTCCTTCTTGGTTCCCCCAGGCAAACGAGGTCCTTCAGAGCTTCCTGAAGTCACAGCTTGCCGTAGAAAAATCCATCCTGCAGTCAGATAAAGCCCTCACTGCTCAAAAGAAGGCCATAGCAGGTACAGGGGAGGTCACAGCTCTCAGAGAGTGGGGAGGTTCCTGCATAGACTGACTGACTGGACAGGAAAACCTTCCTGAAACCAGAAGATTCTTCCTGCTGTGGAGCACATGCTCTGCTAAATCTGAGAGCAACAGGGGAGGCCAGCAAATCAGTTTTTCATCACATTTGGAGACATACTGTGGCTATCATGGCTAAAGGGAGGATTCAGATATCCCTCTAGCTTTTTCTGAAATAAGTTTGGTTTGTGAAGCTAGGATAGTAGAGCTCAGACCTGACTGTTTTTTTTTTTCCCTCCCTAAAACTTTTGTGGAACAGTTGAGCGGCTCAAGAGGGAGGCAGCTGAGAAGGAACAGGAGCTGCTAAGACAGCAACAGCAAGAGCAGCAGGAAATGATGGAAGCACAAAAGGGAAGCTTAAAAGAACACATTGCTCAGCTGGAGAAGAAGTTGGACAGGAAAATGGAGAACCTTCTGAAAAGGTTGGAAAATAATCTGGACCATAAGCTAAAGGTGAGCCTGGACAGGGCCTGGCAGTGCCTGACAGACAGTGCCCTGGTTCCTCAGGAAGGAAATTACCAACATGTTAAGCATGGACATGATTTCAAAGGGAAACTCAAAAGGTGCATGTTTCACTAACTCCTCATGTATACTTGCATCCTCCTGAAGTCTGTAAATCTCTGAGACTCCAGAACCTTGTATATTGATAGAATTCAGAGTATACAGTGTTCCCCAGGGTGATGGATTAAGGTTTGTTGAGATTATAGGGTGGTCTTACTGTGTCCCAGTTGAATAGTGTGTTAGTCCATTGGTCTTTTTAGGATTCTTGGCACAACCATCAAAGAGATCAAAATTAGATCCATCTGAACTGCACATATCACCTTTGACCTGCTATAAAATGTAGGATCTTTGAAAGCCCTGAATTTGCTCCATTTGTTTCCATGGCCTGATTCTTTCTACAACAAAAATAAAGTCTTTGTCCCAACCAGGAGCTTGATAACTAGTGTTCTCTACTAGGTATTTCCTATTATTTGTTAGAAGATCATAGCCATGCTACTTCAGTGGAACTGATAATTCATTAGATCTCAATCTGTGTGCCAAGAGGAATTCTCTTTTTTGGGGATTTTAAAATCATGAACAATGGCATATATTAATTGTACAAGTTAATGGAATTTACCATGATATTTCCATACATGCATATACTGTGCATTGATCAGGTCCATAGATCCTTCTTCTACCCTTTTCCTCTCTCCCTTCCTCCCTCCCAGCCCCAATCCTGGTCCCTAATATTCCCTCTTCTACTTTCTGGTCACTTTTGTTGTTGTTGTTGTTTTATTTCCACATATGAGATATTTTCCCAGGAGTGGGATAGCTGGATCACATGGTAAATTCTAAGTTTACTTTTGGGAAACCTCCAAACCATTTTCCATAGTAGCTGTACTAATTCACATTCCTGCCAACCACATGTAAGTGCTCCTATTTCTCCAAATCCAGAACTTGCCATTATTATTATTATTTATCATTATTATTTATTTTGACAATTGGCATTCTAATCAGAAGGAGATATAGTCTGAGGGAAGTTTTGATTTGAATTTCCCTGATAACTAAAGATATTAGTACTTTGTAACATATTTATTTGCCATTTGTATTTCTCCTGTTGAGAAATATCTGTTTAGGATATTTGCCCATTTCTAATTGTATTACTTAGGTTTTTTATTGTTGTTGTTAAGATTTTTAAAGTTATTAATCCTATGTCAGAAGAATAGATGGCAAAGATTTTCATGTAAGGTGCCTCTTTAGTGTTCTTACTTTGGTGTGCAGAAATTTTTTTAATTTGTTGTAATCTCATCTGTTAACTTTTGCATTTGTTTCCTCTGTTTTTGTGATCCTATCTAAAACACCATTGCCTGTGCCAATATCTTAAAGGGCTTCTGCTGTTTTCCTCTCGTGGTTCCTGAGTTTCAGGTTTTATACTTTAGTCTTTGATCCATTTGGGGTTCTTTAGTGTACAGGGTGAGAGATAGGAGTCATTTTCAGTCTCCTACATGTGGATATTCAGTTTCCCAGCGCCATTTGTTGAAGAGTCTGTCCTTCCTCCGTTGTCTCAGTTTTGGGTACCCTCATTGAGAATCGGTGAGGGGAAGGTGTGTGGATTCATTTCTGGTCCTCTGTTCTATTAACTGATCTACAAGTTTGTTTACATGCCAATATGGTGTGGTCTTTGTTGCTATGGCCCTGTAGTATCTCTTGAAATCAGGTATTGTGATGCCTCCAGCTTTGCTCTTTTTGCCCAATATTGCTTTGCCTATTCAGGATCTTTTGTGCTTTCATATGAATTTAATTTTTTTCTCTGAAGAATGTCATTCATATTTTGATGGCTACTGAATCTGTAGATCACTTTGCTTGTCAAAGCATATTAAGTCCTATTACACAAATGCTAAGGTTGCATCACCAGAATGAAGATAAAGCTACAAACACTTCTCTGATTTGGTCAATGGCGGTGATATGGCTAAATTAGTCAAAATAGCTAGTAACCTTTTGGCTGTTATAGAAGGAAGAAATGTTTATAATCCTCAAGTTAATAATACAGTTTGTTTATAGTTTGAGTCAGCAAGGCAGGATAGTATTGATGGTGTGAAGCTATAGGCAATGATTAAGGCTGTGGTTCCTGTAGAATTTCATGATGTTTGAATAAGAATAACTACAATTGTTATTAATACTATATGATTTATAGGTTATTAAGTAATTAATGAATTTTGATCTGATGTAAGAAAATAAATTTTGTTATAATTATACCTCATAAAGATGATATAAAAAATGGATAGGCTAGATGATCTGTTAGTGGATTTAGAACTGTAGTGATTCATATTATACCATAATCTCCTAGTATCCACAATACACCCAAAAGAACCACAGATCTGGTGATTAGAGTCTCTGTTATGCTTTTGATAGTCATAGATGGAGGCCACAGTGTGTTTTTATGTAAAAGCTTTCATACATGTTAATCACAAAATGTTATTAGATCAGTAGTGTGGATGTGGTTTAGCTTTGCAAATTTAGTCAGCTTTTTGCTGCTAAGACTAAAGAACCTGACCAAAACAATTGTAGAGAAGGAAAGGTTTATTTGAGGGCTCACAGTTTCAGAGGTCTTAGTCCAAAGAAGGCCAATTCCATCCCTCAGGGCTTGAGGTGAGGCAGAATATCAGGGCAGAAGAGTGTGGCAGAGGGAAACATCTCATATGCTGATCAGGAAGCAGAGAGAGGTTTCCACTTTCCAGATACAAATATATACCCCAAAGCCACACCCCAATTCCCACCTCCTCCAGCCACACCCTACCACTTCAATTACTACTCAGTTAATCCCTATCAAGGGATTAAGACTTTTACAACCCAGTAATTTCTCCTCTGAACCTTCTTGCATTGTCTCACCTGTGAGCTTTTTGGGGACACCTCACATTCAAATCATAACACTTTGTGATGGTCAGCTAAAAACTTTAGTGATTCTACTGTATTTTGAGTGTAGATTAATGCATAGGAAGTTGTGGAGAGCAACAGATATGTACAATAGAAAATAAAGTCTTGCATTTAATTGTTCTGTTTGATTTCTTCACTGGATAATATGATTAAAGTTGGGATTAATGTTGCTTTGAAGAGCATACAAAATATAGTGGCTGTGAATGTTACAATTGAAAATATTTCTAAGGAGATTAATATTGCAACATAAAGTTTTTGTAGAATTGATTATTTAGTTGATATTGACATGCTAGAATTATTAGGGATAGAATTCAGGTTGCTACTATTAATAGGGTGAGTGATAATGAGTAAGAAAAATACTTTAGTGAAAAAATTAAAACTTTCTGCAGAATTAATTGAGAAGAAATAAACTCCTGGATATTTTTTGGGGGGTGAGTACTGCGGATTGAATTCAGGGGTGTTCAACCACTGAGCCACATCCCCAACTCTTTTTTGTATTTTATTTAGAGACAATGTCTCATTGGCTTAGCACCTCACCATTGCTGATATACATTTATCCAAAAATTAAAAAATAAAACAAATGGGGTGGGGGAATGAGAAGAGAAGGTAGACAAACAACTATGAGATACCAAGGAGAGAGAAAAGTATGACCAAAGTACAAGAAGAAACATAGCTCAAATACCTCCAATGAACATGACTATAGATTTAATTCAATTTCCTGGGGAGGGGGGTTGTCAATATGCACTGGATACTACTCCTCTATTTTCTTTCAGTATTTTCTTTTCTATTTTGAATGGGATTGTTTTCCTGATTTCTTTCTCATCAAATTCATATTGATGTATAGAAGAGTTACTGATTTTGCATATTGATTTTGTATCTTACTACCTTCCTGAATTAGTTTATTGGTTACAAAAGGTTTTTGGTAGAGTCTTTAGGTTTTTGTATGTATAGAATCATATTATTGGTACATAGAGATGCCTTTTTCCTTTCCTGTTTGTACCTTTTATTTCTTCCTCTTGTCTAATTGCAATGGCTAAATTTTCTAGCACTGTATTGAGTGAGAGCACTGAGAGTGTATACCCTTGTCTTGTTCCTGATCTTAGAGGAAATACTTTCAGTTTTCTTCCATTAAGTATGATGTTGGCTATGGATTTGTTACATACAACCTTTATTATGTTGAGGTATCTATACCTCATTTATTCAGAGCTGTTTTCATGTAGGTGTATTGAATTTTATCAAAGACACTTTCTGCATCTGTTGAGATGATCATGTAATTTTAAAATTTTATTTATGTGATGCATTACATGTATTGATTAGATATGTTGAACCATTCTTGAATCCCTGAAATGAAAGTCAACTTAATCATCATGTATGAATATTTTATTGTGTTGTTGAATTCAGTTTGCAAGTATTTTATTGAAGATTTTGCATGTGTGTTTATCGGGGATAATGATGTATATTTTCTTCTCTTCTTGGTGTGTCCTTGTAGGGTTTGGTAGCAGTGTAATGGTGTTCTCAAAGGATGAGTCTGGAAGGGTCCCTCTTTTCACTACAGTGGAATAATTTTGTGAATCATTTTTGTTAGGTCTTTAAAAGTTTGGTAAAATTCAACCGTAAAACCATGCAGTTTTGAGTTGTTATTTTTGGAGAAGTCTTCTAAACTGAATCGGTTTTGTTACTTGTTATTTCTCTATTTAGGTTTTTGTATCTTCTTGTTTTTTGTTTGTTTGTTTTGTTTTGTTTTCACCAGAGATTGAACCCTCAGGCACTTAGCCACTGAGCCACATCCTCAGCCCTTGTTTTTCTTTTAAAATTTGAGACAGGTTCTAACTTGCTTAGAACCTTGCTAAGTTTCTGAGGCTGAACTTGAACTTGGAATTCTCCTGCCTCAGCCTCCCAAGCCACTGAAATTATAGGCATGTGCCACATACCCACCTTTGGTTCAATTGTGGCAGATTGCATGTGACCAGAAAGTTCTTCTTTTCTTCTAGATTTTCCAATTTATTATCTTATATCTATAGGTCTCACAAGAGTGAAGCCATTCTGGTAATTCAGCCAGGAGTTGTGTGGACATAGTGTATGCATTTCTATGTTTACTATTACAGTGGGATTGATTATTTCTATCAAGTGATGGGGGTTGATATTGGCTCTGTTTTTTTAAATATGATTCTGATACACATGCTCCAGTCATGGTACAGGGCATGAAGCTCTTGTCCTCTGATTAAATACTGGTGCATGTCTAGGTGGTTCATGGGGAGAAGTGGGGGTCAGAATCACAGTTCTCCTCTAGTGGCATTCACATCTAGTCTTATCAACAATGCATGTTCTGACAAGTTGCAGGTGCAGCCAATGCAGAAATAATCCGTAAGAATGATGTCAGCAAAAGTTCTGTAACTCTTCTCTTCACTATTGTGGAGTGTCTTCCCAGGAGTGGGAACTCAGAGCCTCCCTACCCGTACCCACCTGAAGTGTCTGTCAGGTTTCAAGTCTGTCAAATCTGGAGCTGGATACAATTCCTCTCAGCTGGCTTGGGAATGCAGCTCGTCAACTGAGCAGCCATGCAATTTGTGTAAGGCCCTGAGCTCAATCCAAAAATAAAGTAAAATAATAAAAATCACAAAAATAAAGACAAGGAGAACAACAAGGAGAAAATATTATTACTTAAATAAAAAATTAAATTTTAATAAAAGTAAAACTAACAAGTTAAAAATAAAACTAACAAGAAAAGTTAAATAAAAGATAAAAATAAATAATAGCAAATGAAAAAAACAAAAGAAAAGATTTTTTTTTTGAAAAGAAGAAAACAAATCCTTCCACTCGAGATGCTTGGAAAAGTAAGAAAGGTGTGTTATTGCAGCCTATTTTAAGTCAGCTTCTCTGCTAATCTTAGAGTGTGTTTCCCAGGGGTGGGTTTGTTTTCATTCCTCCCCACCATTCTTTCACTTGTGGTAGCCACCAAGGAGCCACAGGCAGTGAGACCCATGAAGCTAACTGAAACTCCTTTTAGCTAGATGCAGGCCAGAGCTAGATCCTGTGTAAGATGGGTTTTGCCAGGCCTAGATTCCCTCTGGCATGTCTCAGGCTGTGTGCCCTGAGGCAGGACATATTTCTGAGCAAAGTATCTCAGGGCAGGTAATTGGGAATGAAGGTGTCAGGGGCTGACTGGACACTAGAACAATACAGTTTTGTAATGGGAAGGGAACAGTGGGAGCCACATAATCTGCCATCGTAATCCTGGCATCTTCAGGCCTGGTAGCCATGAGAGACCACTCGCAACTACTCAGTCCCTTTTTTCAGAGGACAGGTTCCCTGGTGAGATGATTGTAGAGGGTGAAAGCCTCTGCTCCCCTTAGCTTCACAGCCTGCATTCCCACGAATGGGACTCTTAGTGAGTTTGTGTCAGAGCCAGTCCCCCAAGCCAAGACCCTCTCAAAAAACTGTCACCCACTGAAGCAATGCAGTGGAAAGTCCATGCGGTGCTAGAGATGGGAATATGCCCCTCCTGAGCAGGGAAAACTCAGACAATGGGACCCTTCTCAAGATGACTCCTGGCTTCAGCACCCTGAGGGTTTGTTGGGAGATGGAACAAACCTAAAGTGTAGAGCTCAGGTCTCTTACTTATTTAAATTGTATGTCTGCAACATATTGACCTGTGCACCAGTGGAGCTGGCTGGGACTCTTTCCCCTTTATTCCCATTGAGAGAAGATCCCAATACCTGACCTCAGTGATGGGCAGTAGGTACTGGGGCATTCTGTTTCTCTTGCTATGCTGTTATCCCAAGATTCTGTGTTTTCACCAGGTCCCCATCTCTCTGCTGCTGAACTCTAGCGCTCTCCTAGGGCCACTCACCTCCACATGCAGTTCCACAACTATTGCTTTGTTTCTAGTCCACGGAGGAGAAGGCAAGCACTGGGTGCATCTATTCTGAAATCATATGGCTCAGGACAGTCTCTGGGCTTGAACAAAACATCTCTCCAACATAGCCCGGTGGTGCTGAGGAAATCTCACAAATGTATGAACCATGGATTGTCCCATTATCCAAGTCCAAATGTCTAGAGACATCAAAAAACATTCTAAGGTGGTAGAGAAATGAACACATGATTAACTGCTGAAGTTGTTCAACATAAAACTCTGTTAGTAATGGGATTTTCAAAAGTGGACTTCTTCTCTTTCACAGGTCCAAGAAAAACTTCTGACTGAAGGATTTCAAAAGGAAGCTGAGAAGCTAAGAAAAGAGATAGATCGACTACGAGATGAACTAGATGACATCAACACCAAAAAATCCTCAGTTGTCTCACAGATCCTTGATTTTGTTTCCTCTGTGATAAGGGTAGGAACTTCTGCTGATACACTCTTGGATGTAGTGAGGAATATATGTGATCTATTACGAACGCATTTCTCCTAAGAAAATGATAAAATAAAAATTTAAATTTTAATTACACAACATGTTGTTCAATATTTAAGTAAACAATATAAAGAAATGGGAAACAAATAAGGAGATAATGAAATTGTTAGTAGAAAAGTTTTGAGTAAAGCAAAGACAAATGCCAAGATGAAGAAAACATTTGCAGTTTGATTTTAGACATGATGATATTATAACTAATGATGAGCTCTTGTGAGAAGAGACAAACAACTACATTTCTAAATCAGCAGAGATATGATAAAATTTTTGACTTTACTGATAATAAAATTTGTGCAAAATGAAATTATGAAGTTTGTGTTTCACTTGATTTATGGGTAAGGAAGAGTAATTTTTCCAGGACCCTGAGCTAACAAGGGTTTGGTGTAATCAGTGGCCTCTCTTATTTGCTATTGGGATTGTGAATGGCTGCTACTATACATTAAAAATTAGAATGCAGATATCTTTGATCTAGCAATTACCCATTTAGTCATTTCTCTTATATATTTATTTACCCAAGATGAAATGGACATTGTTAATGGTATGCTATAATGACAAAAGACTGAAAAACAATACTTTGAAGTCCCTCAGTCACTGATATTGTTTTGATGTTAAATGTCTCCCAAAAGCTCATGTTTGAAATCATGATACCCAATCCAGAAAGGTTTGAAGGTGGAATTTTAGGCAACGATGAGAGAATTAATCCATTTGATGGGTTAATAATTTAAATGAACTCCTATTAACCGTAGGTAGGTTGTGCATGCCTGGAGGAAATAGGTCATTGAGGTTGTGTCCTTAGGGATTATATCTTATCCCTGGCTCCTTGAGTGTCCTCTGTCATTCTCTCTCTTTGTTTCCTGGCTACCATGCGCTGAGCAGCTTTCCTCTGCTATTTCCTTTCCACCATTTCCATCTCAGGCCTAGAGCTATAGAGTTGACTGACCACAGACCGAACCTCTAAAACTCTGACCAAAATAAACTTTCTCTCTCTCTCTAAGTTGTTCTTGTTAGATGTAGCCATAGTGCAGTAGAGATGACTGACACAATCAGGTATTGATAACGTAAACCTTGGGACATACTTTCAGAAGAATACTCTGCATTTTCACTGATATGAAAGGCAAAGCTTTATTGGTATTGATATGAGATCTTCTCCAAGATACATAATAAGTGAAAAACAAGATGCAGAAAGTGTATATACATATTATCACTGAATTAAGAACATAGTGTATGTGCACACATGTTATTGTCTACCTCTGGAAAAACACAAAAGAAACTAGTATCCATGTTCACAATAGATTGGGACTTAGATAGCTGAAGTAAGAAATAAGAAAACAACCAACTTTATATTGTATATTCTTCCACAACTTTAACACTTTAGATGAATTTGTCACCTATTCAAACAAATAAATACAAATTAAAAAGCTCCCAGGACAGGACGAAAGCTTTTAATACTACTAGAAATAGTATAAGTAGGCCCAACAGGAATAATTTACTCACAAGAACAGGGAACTAGAAAGCCCAAGACCTGCATCTTGATTTTGTTTTCATTATGGCCTTTTAATTGTCCTTAAAAGTTTATTCACCAGTATATGTTCAGATACAACTCCCCTAAGATATTAAACTGGAATGGTCTTTAAATTTCCTCCCAGATTTATAAAGATGATGAAGTCGAAGGGAAAATTTTCTTCAGGGTTAACTCAGTATTTCAGGAATTCTTTTCAGCTGTGTAATGCTTAAGACTTCCAGCCAGAATGAACTGTGTTAGTCTACAATTTTGCTAAATACTAGGTATTGGCTGATTAATCACATTCGTTTTTATCCAATAGGGCTCCAACTTATGAGGTCCTCACCCTGTTCCTCAGTCTCTAGTGCTTTCAAAATGAAGGACACAATTGTAGGAACTAGTGCTGAAAAAACTCATTGAAGCAAAGGGAACTGTACCCTAGTGTGAAACTGCTGCCTATTTCTCTGATGAACTGGACACCCATGAGCCCTGAGTTCTTAGAATTTCTCACTCATAGTAACTACCCAAGAATGGCTTAAAAGTAGGATGTTTAAAATAGTAAACAAAGTATTCATGCAAACCTCATTCCTGCCATAGTCCTTCTATCATGCTGAAATAAAACCACACATTTTATATGAAGATCAGATTCTGACAGAGGAATCTGCTTAGTGTCCACAGAGCCACAAGACTGCAACATTGCAAATACTCCTTATTTGTTCCTTCCCTCTAATGTCTTAAGAACACATCTGTGCTTTCTTTAGGATCTTAAAGTAAGGTCAGTCACCTTTCAGTTTCCCCAATAAAAACCACTGATAACAGAAGTTCTATCACTGAACCAGTCCCCAGGGACCTGCTGCTGTCACTCAGGGGAATACGCTGAATAGTGCACACTGGGATAGTCTGGTGAAGGGCAATGAGGGGGTAGGCTAGAGTTCTGGTGTCCCATCATGTCTTCTCAATACACATGACCAGCAATGGAAAGTGAAACCTCAATAAGGAAATGTTGGCATGAAATTATATCTATTTATATATCATGAAGAAGTCAAAAGGGAGGTGATAAAACAATGAAAGCAGAGAAAAATTATTCTCTACCCAGTGTTTAGTCATAAGTCATCACCTGTTGGGTTAATGTTTATATATACCACGAATAAGTTTCCAGGCAAAAGACCTCTCACATACTTGAAAATCAACACGTTTTTGTTGAAATTTTGAATGTATAATGGATCTATCTCAAGAACCTTCTCGACAACTCTTTTAGGAAGACCAGTGCACATTCACTCCTCCTCCACATGGTATTTGGGCCACTTCTAAAACTCCTTGTTCCTGTTCTCAGATAGTGTCCACAGCCTGCCTTGCTAGGGCCACCTTCTTACCTATTGGTGCCAAGTCTGAACAACCCAGATTAAATCTGTGTCTTCAGGAAACTCCTCTTGTGGACTAGAAGTTAGGGCTGGGAACTTGGAAATACAAAGAAATGGAGAAGACCTGTGGAGAAGACCTGTGTCCTAGAGAACTGGAAATAACATAAAGAAGTAGGAAAGCTGAGGAGAGAGTTGCATGGTCTCCTTCTGGCCTCCTCAGTCTCAGATTACATTCTGTCACACAAGCATATATTCCTCAGAGGGAGGAAGTAAGAACATGTAACCAAGCTGCCAGCATCCCAGTGAGAGGCCTCTTGGAAGTAAAGTCTCACTAGGAAGGGGTCATAGGGAGGTTCTCAGGGAGGTTTTCCAGCTTGGAAGAAAAACCAGAAATAAGATCCCCTATAGTGAGGGAAGCAGACAGCAGCTCCAGTCCAGAAATATGGCATGACTTCTGTGGGCTTCTAGGACTGCCATAGCTTCCTATGTCATGTTCATGAAGGAGAACAGGAACCTATTTACTTCTCTTAAACAATCACATCCTTTAAGAACAAATCAACACCAAAAGCAGTAGAACACAGGAAATAATTAAAATCAGAGCTGAAATCAATGAAATCAAAACAAAAGAAACAATTTAAAAAAAAATGACAAAACAAAAAGTTGGTTCTTTGAAAAAATAAATGAAATAGATAAACCCACGGCCATGCTAACAAAGAGAAGGAGAAAGAAAACTCAAATTACTAACATATAAGATGAAGAAGGAAATATCAAAATGGACGTGTCTAAAATACAAAAGACAATTAGAAGATATCTTGAAAATTTATATTACAATAAAATAGAAAATATCGAAGATGTCAACAAATTTCTAGAGACATGACTTACCCAAACTGAATGAGGAGGTCATACATGATTTAAACAGATCAAGTTCAAGCAATGAAATAGAAAACACCCTCAACAACCTACCAACCAAGAAAAGCCCAGGACCAGATGGATTCTCAGCGGAGTTCTACAAGACATTCAAAGAAGATTTAACACCAATACTCCTCAAAATATTCCATGAAATATAAAAGGATGGAACCCTTCCAAACTCATTCTATGAGGCTAATATTACCCTGATACCCAAACCAGACAAAGACACATAAAGGAAAAAAATCTTCAGACCAACATCCCTGATGAACATAGATGAAAAATTCTCAATAAAATTCTGGGAAATTGCATACAAAAACATATTAAAAAGATAGTGTACTACAATCAAGTGCAGTTCATCCCAGGGATGCAAGGTTGGTTCAACATATGGAAATCAATAAAAATAATTCATCAAATTAATAGACTTAAAAACAAGAATCATATGGTCATCTCAATAGATGCAGAAAAAACATTTGACAAAATACAGCACCCCTTCATGTTCAAAACACTAGAAAAACTAGGGATAGTAGGAACATACCTCCACATTGTAAAAGCTATCTATGCTAAACCCAAGGGCAGCATCATTCTAAACGAAAAAAATATTGAAAGCATTCCCTCTAAAAACTGGAATAAGACAAAGATGTCCTGTTTCACCACTTCTATTCAACATCATCCTTGAAACTCTAGCCAGAGCAATTAGACAAAAGAAAGAAATTAAAAGGATACAAATAGTTAAAGAAGAACTTAAACTATCACTATTTGCCAATGCCATAATTATATGTTAGGAAGATCCAAAAAAATGCCACCAGAAAACTTCTAAAACTAATATATGAATTCAGCAAAGTAGCAGTATATAAAATCAACACCCACAAATCAAACACATTCCTATACATCAGTGATGAATCCACTGAAAGAGAAATTAGGAAAACTACTCCATTCACAGTAGCCTCAGAAAAAATAACATACACGGGAATCAATGTAGCAAAAGAGGTGAAAGACTTCTACAATGAAAACTACAGAACACTAAAGAAACAAATTGAAGGAAACCTCAGAAGATGGAAAGATCTCTCATGTTCCTGGATAGGCAGAATTAATAAAAATGACAATACTACCAAAAGCATTCTACAAATTTAATGCAATTCCTATTAAAATCCCAATGACAATCCAAATAGAAAAAGCAATCATAAAATGTATTTGGAAAAATAAGAAACCCAGAATAGCTAAAGCAATCCTTAGCAAGAAAAGTGAAGCAGGAGGCATCACAATTCCAGACTTTAAACTATACTACAGAGCTATAGTAACAAAAATGGCATAGTATTGGCACCAAAATAGACTTGTAGACCAATGGTACAGAATAGAGGACACAGAGACAAACCCACAAAAATACACTTATGTCATACTAGACAAAGGTGCCAAAACATTCACTTGAGAAAGATAGCATATTCAACACACAGTGCTGGCAAATCTGGAAATCCATAGGTAGCAAAATGAAATTAAGCCTCTATCTCTCATTCTGCACAAAAATCAACTCAAAGT